CAGGGTTTTTAAGAAAAAGCAACATTAAGCAAACAAAATTTTATAAATTACAATAAGCCCTTGATTAATACTATTACAATCTACTTAATTCTATAACTTAGATCTTTTAAGCTGATTAAATTTCCCCTTTATTAATGCAGTAAGTTCCTTGAGAGCAAATATTACCACTTGCTATAATGGAGCAAACTGAGCTAAACTTTGGACATCTAGAGATTTCTTGTCACCTGGAGTAAATCTTATAGGCTGGTCTTTGAAGGAGAAAATTCAACAAGTGTTTAAGAGACATACAGATGTCTCCTATGCTGATGGACTGTCGAACTGTGAGATGCTCTGCCAGGAACATCGAAGAGAAAAACTTTACTCCGAGCCTGCTACATGTTTTTTTATTGTCATTTCTAACATCGACAATACTATGTTAATGTGTTATCTCAATTAATACTCACCATTTTGCAACTGCTCCAGAAAAGTACAGAAAAAAAAAGGTTTCACTACTGACATGCCACTAATAACAAAGTTAGGAAAGAATTTGTTACACGATTTCAATAATTACTATCTTTTTTTTTCTTTTCCTAGAAGATATTTACTGAAGAATAATAACTTATTCACATTAAAAGTACAAATAAAATGAGATTAAATCTGAATAGGAGCTAATGAGAACTGACATTCAAAATACGGGCTTGAGAAAAAAGGCTGATATTCAAAGTAAGGGCTACATTATAACTTTTTAATATCAATAACCTTTATTAATTGTTTGATATTTTAAAATCATTCCTCTATACACAATCTCGTGAAGCTTAAAACCACACAGTGAGGTAAAGAAGGCAGATGTTATCATATTTATTCTTAAGCGAGTACACCAAAGTTCAGGTGATAACAATCTACCCAGATGCCCAGGATAAACAGGCAGTGACTAAGAACGCTCTTTTAGAAGAAATGCTTTGAACCAAAGTATAGCCAAACACCAACAGATTATATAGTAAAATTTACTTAACTAAAACACAGAATTGTAATTAAAATACTGAACCTCTCTAAAGAAATTAATTAAGAATGGTGGAGGGAAAAAATTCCCGATTTGGTTTCTCCTAATATTTCAACTAATGCTTTCAAGAGTATAAATACTACCATCATAAATACTCATTCACTGGATCTAACCTGTCATAAGCATAGAAAAAATGCATAAATTGCAAATATTGAGAGAGGACACTACTAGTAACCTTAGTCTCTCATTCACAAATATACCCAAACAGGAATCAACAGATACCTGAAGAAAACTAATACCATCAAAAAAGAACCAAAATAAACAAACTGAAAGAATCATTCAAAGAGGAGAAAAAACTTAAAAATGAAATCTATTTATTATCCTAAGATTAAGATTATATTACATATGTAAAGAGCAGGTGGCTATAAACTCTAAAGAATTCCCAGGAATATAAAGCAATAGCTGAACTAAATGATTCAATAAAGGGCTAGAAGGAAAAATCAAAGAAATCTCCCTGAACAAAGAGAAAAAACAAAGACATGGAAAATGAAAGAAAACTGTTCAAACAGTGCATTAATATAGAAGCTCTAAGGGAAATTTTTTAAAATGTAAAAGAATACAGATAACATGGAAAGAAAGAATAAAATACAGACGATTTCCCAAAACTAAAGAAAGACATAAAAGTGTGCATTTTCAAAGGGTCCACCAAATGCTTTACAGGATGAATTAAAAAGGACTATAACTCATCCTCCTAAATTTTATAATGCCAAGGATAAAGAGCATCAACACAAAAAGCTTCCAGAGAACAGGTTATCTACAAAGAAATCATTCATTTTAGCACCAAAACTCTTGTCAGTAAAACTGGTTACTAAAAGGTGATGGAATGCAACCTTCAAAATTCTGAAGGAAAATAATTTTAAACCTGAATTCTATACCCAGCCAAGGTATGTAGCAGGTGTGAAAGTGACATTTTCAAACACTGTGTTGACAAGCACCCATACATACTCTTCCTGAAAAAATTACTTCAGAAGTACCTAGAAAACTGCAAAATAAGTCTAAAACATAAAAAAGGAAAGACATGATATCGAAGAGAGCATAGAACTTGTCCAAGAATGCAATTAAGTAACATAATATTCGCTGAGCATCATACCCAGAAAAAAGTCAGTTCATATTAGAACTTCAGCAAATAGTATGATTAATAAGCTAGATAACCACATGACATGGTAAAGGTATACTCTCTTCTACCAACTGGGGGAAAATGTGGCAATTAGAAAATTCAGATAAAACACTTATAGTCCAAACCAGAAGCCAAACTACAGTGTGACATGATCTTTAGTGCCAACAGTGTATAAGAAATCCATTTGTTCTCTATGGATCCCATCACAGTATTTTGTTTAGTAGCTAGTATTATGCTTATGTAAATGGAATCAACGAGTATCACTATTAAACCTTGACAATATAAAATGCCACAGTTGACAAATTGGGAAGGGAATGGGAGGAATTCAAGGGAACTATTGTGAGGGGTACTAACTCTTCTTAACTTATAAAGTGGCAAAATGATGTCTAAATAATTTATAGAATTAATGATGCAAGGGCTATAAGTTTAAGCATAAAGGCCAAACAGAAAAAAAGAAAAGAGAATAGGTGTGAAAAGTTAAATTCTTCATTTTTCCCAATGGGGATACACCAGATTACTTAAGATTAGTCGAAAATAAAGTTTATCATATTAGATATAAAATTGGCATAATAATCAGAATTAAAAATAGAAAAAGTCTAAAAAGGTTATCTCTGAGGAGAGAAACTAGTTTGAAGAGACAGAGGGTAGAAAGATCTCTACTTTTCATTTTATAGATTTGTGTGGTAGTCAAATTCTTACATTTATACGACTATAACTTCCTGAAATAAACTCTCTCTCTCTCTCTCTCTCTCTCTCTCTCTCTCTCTCTCTCTCTCTCTCACACACACACACACTCACATTCTCTCTCTCTCTCATTAGCATCCTCTTTTCCTAGCCAATGCAGAGAAAACACAGAATTTTTTTTTCCTTTATGATTTTTTCCTTTTTCTATGTCCCACACATTATATACCAACCTTCTATTACGGTATTTCAGAGGAGACACAATTAATTAAAGAGACTCGGGAAACACCCTAAACTCTTGATAAAAATGTAGTGATAGCAACAGCTTACATCTGTGTTAAAACTGTCAAAACATATCCACATCCATTATCTCATTTAGTCCTCATAACACTTTGTGAAAACAGATTTAGAGATTAATGAAGTAAAACCCTAAAAGGTTTAAGCAACTTGTCACCCCAAAGAAAACAAGAATAAAAAAAAATAATAGACAAGTTATATAACAAAATATATATAACAAAAACATATATAATAAACAAATAATACCTTCATAGAGCACCGAAATCTGAAAATGCTTTCCAAATTAATAAGAATAACATAAAAGAAATTAAACTTAACAATACAAAGAGTGAGCCACTTTCGAAAACAGTTGGCAGTTTTTATGAAGTTAAGCATACACTTACCGTATGACCCCACAATCTCATTCCTAGGTTATTACCCAAGAAACATGAAGACACATCACACAAAGACTTGCATGCAAATATTCATGGCAGCTTTATTCATTACAGGTGAAAACTAGCAATAATCCAAATGTCCATCAAGTGGTAAACAGATAACTTGTCTTATGTCCAGACAGTAAAATACTACTCACTGATAAAAAGGAACAAGTTAATGATACACACAACATAGATGAATCTTAAAGTTATTATGCTCTGTGAAAGTAATCCAAGACAAAGGACTACATACTATGTGATACTTCTATGAAATTCTAGAAAAAAAAATTATAGTAATAGCAGATTAGTGGTTACCAGGGTTGAGGGAAGAGGAATGCGCAAGGGAATGAGGGAACGTTTTCGGGAGACATGAATGTTCTATACCATGATTACAGTGTTGCGCTACTACATATATTTAGCAAAATTCATCAAAGTGTACAGTTAAAACTGGTGAATTTTATTATATGTAAATTTTAACTCAATAAGACTGATTTTTAAAAATTCAGTAATATATAATCACATTTAATTACTGTCAATAGCTTGTCAGCATAGGTATGAACTACAGACCTTAAAAGAACATTAAAATCATTATTTAAGAGGTAACTTTTAACCAGAAGTAGATATACGGTAAGTTAAAATGGAACAGACCTCATCCTACTCAACTTGGCCATGTGGATAAATAGCAGTTGCCTGGCAACTAGTCTAAACTCTAGATTTCTAATAAACACATTGACCACATTAGCAGGTGATCTCATCGAGGATAAACTAAGTTTTACACTGAAGAGTTCTTCTTTTAATATTACAAAAACATAATAACGTATATGAATTATTTACCTAAAGTAGGCATAAACGAGAAATAACTAAATCATGAAAAATAAAGACATAAAATTAAACATAAACACACACACACAAAAACCTCGCTTGTTCTTTTTACTTGAGGACTTTACTTACCTAATTCACGAGACTGTTGAATCCATGAGTTTGTGGGTGAACCCTTCCCGCTTTACTACATTAGGTCTGTCCCTGCCACCACCCACATTGGCTTAACTGAATAATTTCACTTATATTTACGTGTTTCTCAATGCATATAAGTTAGACACTTTCCTAGACATTAAGTCATGCTAAAGCTATCTCTCTGGATTGTGGAGTCTGCAGACACAAAAGAAAACTGCAGCAGGACTGAGTCTTCTGTAACACGCATGCACACGGCATACCAGAAAGCCAACCCTTCACAACCTGATTCCAAATCACTGAAATCAGGAATTACAAAGAATCCCTAAAAAACAAGCAAATTTCTAACACACATGTTAAATATCATTTCTGTCACTGGACAGAGTCTGTCACAGTTAACTTTGTTAACAGCACCAGAAAAAATATCAACTGCCAGGACACCACTGACTGCTCGTTAGCACACTTACCCACCACGTTACTTTGGGATTTGTGGAACACTTACCCCTCTTCTGAACCCAACCTTCTTTCACAATGGTAACATCGCTCATGGTGGCTCCCCTCCAGCCCCCAACTTGGAGATGTGGTACTCTGTGATACCAGCTTTGGGGTTTGGATTCTCTGCTGCTGCTGCTGCTCTTCCCACTCTCTAGTGATGACTCAGCCTGGAAGGAAGTATTGAAGAAAGAATTTCTTTTTTTTCCATTCTTGCAACTCACATAGCAATAACAAACAACTAATTCTTTGTAAATGTCTTCGACTGGCCTGACCTCACATAAAAGTCCAGCTCTTCAAACTGGAGAACTTATTTATTAAGTAATTCTATAATGAATGCACATCCCCGGTCTTGTGACAGATTTCAAATGACAGTGAAACTTTTAAACTAAGAGGTTGCTACAATAAATGTCTTAAGAAAACCACTGTCACACCTACACAAATAATACAAAAAATTTGTTTGCTGACATGTGTTTGGGGTGAAAAGGGAAGAGAATGAAAGTTAAGTGGAGTAAAAGTAAATCCTCGTGTATGTCGTTTCAAAATTTCTGTAAATTTAGAAAGTTATGGGAAAGCAATTGTGAAGTTTTTAATTGCTGGATTTTATGTAAAATACAATGTGCAAAGAAACCAACGTTTATGTATGCTTACTGTGCCTTGTTCCAAGAAATATTTTAGGTTGATTACAGTAAGTAAAATGTTACAAATAATATAAAATTAACTAGTTTTTAAAGTAGACAAAGTGAAACAAAAGTAATATGACAGTGGAAAAAAGTATGGGTAGGTACTCGAGATTTGTCAACAACTCTCACAGGTGCTTACATCTGTTATTCTCAAGTAATCTTCACAACAACCCTATGAGGGTACTAGTGACGCAACTGGAGAAACTGAGGTTCACAGAGATTAAGCGGCATGCGTGATATGCACACAGCTAATGAATGATGGAGCCAAGATCTGAACTCAGGCTGTCTGACTCCAGAGCCTGCATTCTTAACTCCAAAACTATACTACCTTAAAAAAATAAAAAGAAGCCAGAGTAAAAGTCTACATATTTGTGAAAGATGGGCCACAAATTTAACATGAAGGTTTCAGGAAGAAATGCAAATAAGGAAACACAATTGGTTTCAATATTTACGCGTTCCTTAAGTATTTTTTTAAAAGAAAAAAAGAAGTTGCTCAGAAAGAATACAATTCTTCCTGGGACAAAAATCTGACATTTATCCCATGGGTCTTTACAAGATACCTTATAGTGTAATAAACAAAGTCCTCACACATATAGCAATGAGTTTCGCAGGGCAATTTCTTATTGTCCCTCTCAACCTAAAAAGGGAAACACCAAGATAAAATTAAGTTAAAGCATTTCCACAGTAAGGGACCAATAAACATGGTCCAGGAACACAAGCATAAATTTTAGATAACAAGCAAAATAGATGGATGGGCTATATATACTATTTTCTCCAATTGGGTTTTCATGAATAGTACATAGCGGTAAGTTCACGGTTAGACTCCCTTGCTACACTGAACTGAATTACAGTTCTTTTTCCAATGCAAATTAAATGTAGAGCCTAATCACTCAGCAGTCAGGAATCAGACTGGCAATCTCTTGAGAAAGCCTGACAAAGTTTGTATGGCTGAACAGAAGACCTCCCCCATCACGTGGCATGCAGCTAGGGGCTGTGCTTACAGGACGGGCCTACACAGTCCTCAAAATCGGCAGGGTCCCCTACTGCAAAGAGTCAAACGGGATATTAGAATCTGGGTGTATTTTCCCAAAATATGTTTGACAGACTATTAAGAGAAATTCTGGAAAAATAAGAAGAAAAAAGATGAAAAAAGAAAAATTCTTTGGACAAATAAGTTTGGGAAATCCTACAAACCATGTCTTTCTCTTGAGACGTCATAATTAACATATTAAATGAGCAAAATACAAATAACTTTATCTCAGCAAATCCTAAGTTTATTTGAATACACAGGGCTCTGTTTTTTCTTTAGTAACATGGATCGATATCAAAAGGAACACACTTTGGGAAATGGCCACAGGATGTGGCCACATAATTCAAGACAAGACCCATTTCACCATTAAAAACAGGCAAAAAACAAACAAACCAAAAAACTTCTCACTAAAGAATCCGAAGATCATTTCAATTTGATTTATGGAGCTTCCTAAAGAACTCGACATGGTCAACTGGCTACATAATACACACGGCGCTAATTAAAAGGGTTAACGCTTCACATAGATAATCCCAAGGGAGTTTAATATTGGAAACACGAGAACGAAACATTTTCATTCGAGCTGCTCGCAGACCTTCCCGCCGGCACCCCTGCAGCAAGGGGCCTCACAGCTAGCCAAGCCATTCTCTAAAAAACTACATAATCTGGGTCAAAGAAAACTCATATCTTAATATTCTTGGGATTGGAAATAGAAGAGAACAGGGATCACACTTAGTAATAACCAAAAAACAATATATATCCAATAAATATATTTAAAAGATATACTTTGTTACTCAAATATTTTGTTATTACAATACTCTTATAAAAAAAAAACTAGAAAAAACTATCGTCAAAATTGATTCGATTTTTTTTTTTTTAAGTAGACGTTGCATTATTAGAATCTTAAAGCTGGAAGAGGCCTTCAATTTACAGCTGAGAATAGAGTGAAGACAGATGAAGTGATGTACACAGGTCACACAGCTACTTGATGAGAGAACCAAGACAGAACCGGGCACATGCTCCTTCCACTAGCCCTGCCTCTTCACTATAAAACAATATTGGAATATCCGGATCAACCCAAAATCAATGAATTTTGTTTTATAATGAAATTGTTTAAAAAAAAAAAACTAGTATTTTAAAGAAAATGTTTATCAGTGCTTATATATTTAGATTAAGCTGTTAAAACATAAATCTATAGGACAAAATTTATCCTCATCAGGGCCAGTAAACCCACATTATAGAGATGGCTTTACCCATTTGCATATTAAAATGTTAACAGAGTCTACCCATAATCATAACTTTTGACTTTAAAAATTGTTCCTGAGTCTCTACTGGCTAAAATGACCATTTTTGAAAACACTTTAAAAGACATTCAAAGGTATACTGCTCTAGAATTATGATCAATACACTAGAAATAAACGCTGTGTTATGTGTATGAAAACAAAGACTCTTAAGCAGTAAACTATATTCTTGTACCAAGTCATCTACACTTTCCCAGTCTTCCCCGTTACTAAAAACACTAATCTGCAAAATGAGCTGGATTTTAAGGATGCAATCTGTTTCCTAAAATAGAGTCAACTTCACCTCCTCCTAACAGTCCTAACTTCTCTAGAAATCGGTTCTATCCGATGAGCTATAACAGAAAAAAAAATTGGTTTATTTTTCTTTTAAGCCTATTGCATTAAGCTTTTCATGTCTGGGCAACCTAATTTTTTCCTTTCTTATAAAAAAAATTCACACAAATTTCTTTTTAGAATTCAGATTCAATTTAGAATTTACACAGAGCAGGGACACTAAAGGTATTTTTGTTCAGAACTATTTGAGAATTTGATGATAATAATTGCATCTGAATGTCATTTTACGATTTATAAAACATTTTTATATCTTTTACTTCATTCTATAGCATTATTATTTAGTAAAGCAGGTTAACAGTGCCTGACACATAAGAGATGCTCAAGAAATATGGAACAAATGAATGAGTCTATGAATCAAGGAACGAAGATGCAGTTTTAGATAATAAAGAATAGACTAACATTCTAAGTCAACAGAGATAATGGTATTAAGCCATCTTAAAAACATCCCTGAACCTGTACGTTATGGAAGCACATACATATAAATAAAATTATAATAAAATTAATTATAATAAATATTTTCCCTATTCACTGATATTTCCTATAGACCTCCGTTAATTGTAAGGACTAGCACACATTAAAATTATCCTTTTGTTCTCAACATTTTTTCACATTTTATGTTGGGATGCTCAAGATTCAATTCCCAAACAAATCAAGCATCAACAATGCCCAAAATTATCCATGATGGGTGAAAAAAAAGAAGGAATGGCATATTTTCTTTACGATACTTATATTATAAAGATATTTGTTTACTCATGGCAACCAATCATTCAATTTGAAGCAAAAATTAAACTTTAAACATCTTGTAAAGATATCATTCACTCAAGAGAACGTATTATATATACATTGATTCAATTAATAAATACGTATTGTGTACTCTGTGACAGGGAAGGACTATATTAAGTATACAGGGAGGCAAACAAAACTAAGTATTTAAAAATCTTCTCCAAACCTTTATTTGTTATCACATATATTACCTCATTTGAGTCTAGAAACAATCATGCAGTAACTACTGCATCTACAATTCTGAAACTAAGAAAACTGTGACCAACCACTCATGGTGACAGTACTTCCCCACAGTTGCCAAAACAAGTTAGTGACAAGTAACAAGAGTGACTAACTGCAATTCAAATCTTCTATCATTTTGGTACCCTTTCAACCAAATAACAGAACATAAATTATCAAAAAAAATTTGTATCATCTGAAAATAGTTCTGAACATTTTTTATCAAATTATTTTTCAGAAGTCTATTAAAACAGTTTTCAAATAAATTAAAAATTAAATATAACTGTGACATCACACATGAAATTATAACAGAAGACTAAAAGGCACCCCAGCAATCCTCTTTTTCATATGAAAATAATTCCCAGGTTAATAATTTCCTATATGGCAATTTCTAAGTTAAAAGCAACAGTATGATTCTATAATACAACTTTCTCTAAATTATAAACTTGGCTATAATTAACTTTACATAGAACAACCTGCTCTGCGCCACTTGCTATGCTAGCCAAACTGAATTAACGAAGACAACTACTGTTCAAATATAAGACTGTTGCTACTTTGAAATACAAATGATGGTCAAGGGTAATCATGATATAATTTTGCGGCATTCACCTATTCATAAGAAAGAGGTGAAACTAACATATACCAGAATAAATACAGAAGGCTATATAAACTTTAAAGGGATTTGAGGGAAAGGAAATTCCCTAAAGTGGAAGGGAAATTCAAGGCAATTTGTTCCGCACATCAAGTAACGCTAAGCCTGTCTGTCCCTTTCAAGAGTTATTATCCTGTTAAAAAACGTAACATACAAGGAAGTGAGCCACACAAATTTTATATTTCAAATATCTTTCCTCTCTTCAGAGTGCAATAACACACTTCGTGGATTTTCTTAGAACTCTTTCTATAGCTATCTTTACTAAGTTTTACATTATGGGAAAATTCGTAAATAAGCATAGGCAATATTTCTGACTTTCATACAAATGTCAGTTCTTTCAAATTGCCGATCAACTTTAAAACTTTGAAATATATACACAAAAACATAAAGCTTTCCCCACTTCTACCCTACCCTGTTTAGGGCATCTGAATGCCATTTCAACCAACAAGGCCATTATTAATGAAAGTAGAAGCACTGTGTGCTGGGTGATATATTTAATATTCGAATGTGGGACAACTAGGAAAATGCTTGTTGGATCCCTCCGACTCCTAAACCACTGAACACTACGATGACCCTTGACCACTGCACAGTTGGACATATTTTTCCAATACACACGTAAAATCTTCTAAAATCTGCCTTCGAAACCTCCCTGATTAAAAATGAAAAGAAAAAAAAATCACACACGCACAAAATACAATTGGTACATGGTCCATTAAAGGCCCTGAATCAGCCTGTCAGATTTTGCCCCTGATTAAACTTCAAGTTAACCAGTAGGTAAGGAACCCTACCACGAGGTCATCACAATGGTACATCAGGAAGTGCACTGGACAGGCCGAAACACCTGAGTCCTTGTTCCCAACTCTGACCCACCCACAGTGATGCTGTAAAAGGTCCTTTAATTCTGTGCCTGTTTCCTTAGCCATAAAAATAAAAGTATAGCATTATACGAACTCTAAATAACTTTGCAGCTCTTCTAGAGCTAATATTTATGATTCTTCAAGTTCAAATCTACTGAGTACTTCATTTATAAATGGTATCTTAAGTGACAGTACTGTACTAGTTCTTGTCCTCAAAAGTCTAATGTAGTTGGGAAGATAAAATATTCAAACATCAATTCCACTCAGATAAAATCTGAACTAAACTCCAAAATTGGTAAAATACCATCTTCCTCCTCCTCCCATGCTTCAGACCCAAAATATAGTGAGAGGCTTTCTTTCTTCCTTTTCTTTTTTTGACAAGCTTTGTTTTATAAACATATATTTCAAAAAAAGATATACCGAACGGGAGCAAAATAATATTTATTGTGAA